ACGATGGGGCACTATTCCTCCCCCCACTGACACCAACGATGGGGCACAATTCTCCCCCCACTGACACCAACGATGGGGCACAATTCCTCCCCCCACTGACACCAACGATGGGCACAATTCCACCCCCACTGACACCAACGATGGGGCACTATTCCTCCCCCCACTGACACCAACGATGGGGCACTATTCCTCCCCCCAACTGACCCAAAGATGGGGCACTATTCCTCCCCCCACTGACACCAACGATGGGGCATTCTATTCCCCCCACTGACACCAATGGGGCACTATTCCTCCCCCCACTGACACCAACGATGGGGCACTATTCCTCCCCCCACTGACACCAACGATGGGGCACTATTCCACCCCCCTTTTCCCCCCACTGACACCAACGATGGGGTGCACTATGGATACTAATGATGGGCTCTATTTCATCACTGATACCAATGATGGGGTGGCTCCCCCACTGACTGACACCAATGATGGGGCACTATTCCTCCACTGACTATTCCTCCCACTGACACCAACGATGGGGCACTATTCCTCCCACTGACACCAATGATGGGGCACTATTCCTCCCCACTGACACCAATGATGGGGCACTATTCCCACTGATACACACATTCCTCCCACTGACACCAATGATGGGGCACTATTCCTCTCCCACTGACCCCAATGATGGTGCACTATTCCTCCCACTGACACCAATGATGGGGCACTATTCCTCCCACTGACACCAATGATGGGGCACTATTCCTCCCACTGATACCAATGATGGGGCACTATTCCTCCCACTGACACCAATGATGGGGCACTATTCCTCCCACTGATACCAATGATGGGGCACTATTCCTCCCACTCCCACTGAAGATGGGGCACTATTCTTTTTAGTCAGAAAATGAAGTCCTGCTAGATCACGTCAGGCTGGCCCCTTTTGCAGGTATAGCTATGTAAAACCTTTTAAAATAAGCACCTACTGTATACTATTTAAAATCCAGTATTACACTGGTTTATCCTGCTCTGCACATGCTCGGTTGCTCTTTATTTTTAGGCACTGTGCTGGATTTGTAGAGGCCGATCTGCTGACAGTATAAGGGCTCATGTACACTGCAGCTGATAAACTCACATTTAGGAGCTGTTCAGCATCTTTTTTCAGCAGCCCTGAACTCTCCCTAATGTTTTCCTATGTGTCCGTGTACACATCTTCCTTTACAGGCATTTGAGTTTACAGTCGTTTTTTTGAACGCAGAAAACTTGCGTTCAGCAGTCGATTTTATCAGCGTTTCAAACGCGGCAAATTGCGTTTACAAGTGTTTGTGTTTGAAAAATTTTTTTTTTAAACTCTTCCAGTTCTCTATGCTGTCCAGAGCCTTTTTTTAATCATGAAAAATGCATGCAAAGCGTTTTCAAGGTGCTCAGATGGACAAAACACTGAACACAGGATGTTCCTACCAAGCTTGTCACACATTGTAATGATCATTTCACACCTCTCCCAACCTTGGAAGCAAAAGATATGTTAATGATCACTTCACACCTCAGACTTCTCCCACCCTTGGAAACAAAAGATATGTTAATGACCATTCACACCTCAAATTCCTCATGAAGACCCCCTGCCAGGTGACCTTAATGACTCCCTCCACCAGACACCTTTCCCACCCCTGGAAACAAAAAAAATGTTAATGAGCAACTCACACCTAAGCTAATCGCTAATCTTAACACATACTTCTGTCTCTGCTTCTACTCTCTGTATTTCTCTCTGAAACAGTCTGAAATAGTTAAAAAAATTACCACTTTTCAGTGCATTCTGGGCATTTGGGATGTTTCTCCTGTGCTTATCTTTAAAAAACGCTTCTAAACGCAAACACTCATAAACGTGTTATGCAAACGCGGCTAAACAGACATTTTTTTAACCTACGTTTTCCAGCAGTCAGTTTTCATCGTTCAGAATTGTCCCGTGTACATGGAGCTTAAGGGTTGGATCGCAACAGATGTAGTCCAGTGCATTTTTTTTTCATCAAAAATGCATGCACAGTATTTCTCCATGTATTCCAATGGCCCTAGTTCACAACATTGCAATCTTCTGGTGCAGAAAAAAAATGTAGAACGTGCTGCATTTTTTCTGCAGAGAACTGTACTGGAAAACAGCAATACACATCGAAAACACACCGGAAGTGTGGTGTGAACTGTAAGCAAAAATGCACCTGGAATGCATCCACATTTTTGTGGTGGGAACTGGCCCTTTACCCCCAGTTCACATATCCGCGTTCCTGTGGTGCACGCTTTGCGCAGTCATGAGAGCCCATTCATTTGAATGGACTCTCGTGCCCGTGACACGCAGGGAAGAAGTCCCTGCACTTCTTCTGAAAACGCAGCCCGCAGGGAGCCTCGGCTCCCAGTACGGTTGCGATTTACCGGTGCGGGCGCGTGCCATTAGAAATAATGGCACCCGCCCGCGGGTCCGCATTCCTCTGTGCGGGGGGTGAGGTTGCATGGATTTTTGTGCGGATCTGCAGCGGCACCACCCGCACAGATGTGAGCCTAGCCTAAAGCGGAATTGAAAACATTAAACTTTTTTGTAGTTTTAGTAAAAAAAAAAAAAAATGTTCTATTTACCTGCTCTGCACAGTGGTGTTGCATAGAACAGCCCGGATCCTCCTCTTCTAGGGTCCCCTGCCTGCACTCCAGGCTCCTTCTCTTTTGCAGTTGCCCCCTGGAAGCCGCGTTTCAAGGGGGCACCCGTGCAGACTCGCTCCCGAGTCATCCTGTCTGCGTCCAATGAGAATTTATTAATGCATAGAATGCATTAAGGTGAAAAAACCTTAACATGGAACTGTACTGGCCTCTGATCCCGCAATGCGCTGTCACGGAGCTCTCCACCCAACCACTGACATCTTCAGGTGGCCGGCTCTCCGGGTCCCAAACGCCGGCTGCTGTCATTGGCCGGGCAGGGGTGATGTTATGAGTTCTGTCAAATTCAGCATTGCCGGATTTTTTTTAATTTATTCCACTCCAAGGCTTTAGAACCACCTTAAACCCTCCTATCCTTTACCCTGGTTCACATATATGCAGCCATGCGGGCCGTGTTTTGCACGAGAGCCCATTCATTTGAATGGACTCCATTGACCTTGACACACAGGGAAAGAAGTCCCTGCACTTCTTTGGAAAACGCAGCCCATGTGGGAACCTCGATACGGTTGCGTTTTCCAGTGGGGGCCCCGTGCCATTAGACGTAATGGCACCCGCCTGCGGGTCCGCAATTCTCTGTGCAGGTGGTGCAGCTGCACGGATTTGCGTGCAGATCCACAGCGGCACCACCCGCACAGATGTGAACCTAGGGTCACTGCCAAGGAAGCTGCTTCAGTTTGATCTGCAACTGCCATGGTGCTGTACATGAGATCAGTTTTGACACCAGCCATTTGATGGTTTGACAATTTGGTTGAGGACACAAGCAAACATGACAGCAATCCCGGCATTCCAGAAATGAAACCGTTAAATCGTTTGTGCAGAGACGTCAGTTTTTCTGCATTTGTTCTGCATGGGCACTGTGCAATCAGAGGGTTAATTGTGTGCCTAACAAGTTTAATGTGTGCTGCTTCTACTAAAAGATGCGACTGTTTTAATCTCCCTGCTTTGCAGGGAGAAAAAACCGCCACATCTCTGCTCCATGTACAGAGCCCTGTGTTGCTTAGTAAACACAGGGTTTAGTCCTGTTTTTCGCTAAGCCGATCAGCAGGTCCTGAGCTATAAATCATAAACTGGCTGGGACCTGCTGATTGACTGGTGCTGTGCTGAAGGACAGCACAGATGGGGTGGTGGGTGCGCACCCCCCTACCTGGAAATGCTGGATCACGTACATTATGTGATCCAGGGCAGAGCGGCTGCCCCGCCGTAGTCTATAAACATAGGGCGATTCACAAGTGGTTAAAAAGCATTTTAATTCCCCTGGCGGTATTCCCGAGTGTAGCTCGGGGTAAAGTTTCAGCACCACAAGGGGCAACCCCCCCGAGCTACACTCTGGAATACACTGCAGCGTTGCTCCGGGATCTTCTTCTTCACTAATCTTGTCCTGCATTCCCGCGATGTCCCTCCTGCAGTGTCCCCTGTAATGTCCTCCGGCCGATGCCGGCATCTGTCTTCCGGGTTCCGTTCCCTGCGACGTCGGGACGTACGGGGGATGGAACTGGCGGGAAATTTAAAAATGTGAAAAAGTGACATTTACTAAATGCACTAAAATCACATAGTATACCATTCCTGTATCAAACCATTTCACATACATTTTGTCCCGAGTGCTTTGTCCGGCGCCCTGCCTACATTTTTACTGTTCTTTCTGCCTGGAAACTGAGAAACGTCCATGGCATCCAAAAAGCGTCCCTTTAGGTCAAAAGCGGTTTTAGACCGGCTAGAGAACAGCGATAGTAAATTAGAACCACTTGCAGAATTGAGTGATAATGATTCGTGGGGGAAATTCCTCATCAGACGCTGAAAACGATTCTGCGACTGAGCTCAGTGATGTGCGAATTTGCCTCTGTATTTCAAATTTCAGTGTTTTTTGGTTTGATTATATTATTGAATTAAATTTATTATTATTATATTATTATTTTTTATGATTATTTATTAAATTAGTATTTATGATTTCGTGTTTCAAATTTTATCATACCCGGGATGTTTACTAGACTCTTGTTCGGACAGATTTCAGTGAGTTATTTCTAAAAATTACAATAAAAAAAAATACATATTTTCATGCAAAAAAATGTACCGCTTTGAGCACAGAAATACGGACATAATCAGACCGCTAGGGAGGTTAAAGCGTAGAGAACATAGAAACAATTTCTAATTTAGACGAGTAAATACAAATGCTTTTCTTTACTACAGCCAGCACAAACTCTTCTTTCTTTCAGACTCTTTCACAAAGCGCATTGATTCTTTGATGTTTTTTGTTCTGCTTGTTTTATGTGATCCTTTAAACTCGGCACATTACATCTTTTTTTTTTTTTTTGTTAAAGATTTGATGCCCTCTTTCATCCGCCATGGTCCAACCATCCCACGTCGGACGGATATCCTCCCAGCGGATCCCGCCCCTTCTCAGTACCCCCCTGCAGGGGATGGGGTGGTTTCGAGAAATCAAAGTTTTTTGCGGACTCCGGTTCAAAGAACTCCCCAGGAGGTCATGCGCAGGGAGAGTAACAGGCTGTCCGCCCCTTCGTATTTAGTGCGGGGGCTGGGCGACGTGCCTAGGGAGTATGGCTCCTCCTCTCAGTCTTTTTTAACGGAAGCCAATTCGGTTATGGAGAATGGAGATGCAAACACCAGGTTTTTCTGCTCAGACCACCATTATGACGGACAAAGGAGAAAGCAACATGAAGATTACAGATATTATGAACACAGCAATGATCATGTACAGAGAATGATGCATGGACCAGGCAGACATCCTGCAGGTAACAGAGTAGTATTTTGTCTGTGTATTTTTTTCTGAATTGTATCGTAAATCCTATCGATTTATATTTTCTTTGATTTTCACATTTTGATAACTCTTGTGATGTATTTTGCGACTACTACCCTATCCGTGCCCTCCGCTCCTCACAGGACCTCCTACTGTCTAGTTCCCTGGTCTCCTCCTCCCACGCCCGATTGCAGGACTTCTCCAGGACTTCCCCTATCTTCTGGAACTCCCTACCCCAATCCATCAGACTGTCGCCTACCCTCCTCACCTTCAGGCGCACCCTGAAAACCCTCCTCTTCAGGGATGCCTACCCCAACCTCACCTAACACCCGACCTCACCTAACAACTAACCTCCTCCACTCCACCCACCACTCCATCCCCCACAGCCATCTCCTCCTGTACCACCTTTCCCTCCCTCCTAGACTGTAAGCTCGAAAGAGCAGGGCCCTCGAACCCCTCATGTATTGTATTGTTACTGTCTTGTCTCATGTTCTGTCCCCCTTGCTATTGTACAGCGCTGAGCATACCCTTTGGCGCTATATAAATACTGTATAATAATAATAATAATTTTAATACTGGACTGTGAGTGCTTCCCAAAGTGATCGTATGTCATACAGTGCAAGCAGCACTCTAGCTGAATGGCAGCTGTGAGAAAATAGATTTCAAACTAAGCCACCCACAGCAAATACAGTTGCCTATGATGTGGGTTACATTTTTAAATTAAAAAAAAGAAACAAGGTTTTACGAACCTTGCAGGGGGCGGGGAGGCCGTCTATAAACTGCCACCCGCCCCTGCACTGCCACCGTCCGGCCGTTTATATACAACGGCCGGACGGGAGGTGGTTAAAGAGCAACTGTCCTCTTCAGAACTTGAGATGTGCCCAATAACAAACCTTCAATCTCTGTCCTGCAGCGGCTCCTCCTCTGACCTGCTGTTGACTCACCGCCAGTCCCGTTCACTTTAATGGGACGGCTGGTGATGCGGCAGTGATACAACAAGGTGAGGGACGTAGCGACAGCAGGTGAGTGGATGTACAGCGCTGAGCGAACTGTTGGCGCTTTATAAATACTGTATAATAAGAATAATACCCGCTAACAGACGCTGCCATGATGGATCTAAAATGACAGGTGCTCTTTAAATGTAAGGAATCCGACTCATTCTTGCTGGTAGCTGGAATCTTTCATATTTGGAAACCAAATGAAGGTTTTCTTTTTAGAATAATAGGCTGTCAGGTTAGTAAAACAGCAATATTAGAACCGATTTTAGGTTAATCACACATAGCTGGAGAGACTCAAATTCTTTAATTTCGTGTCTCATGATTACTGCAAGATTGTGTGAATGCATCATTACAGTGCATGTTATGTCAGCTTGCAGAGCTTGGACTCATTGAATGAGTTTACCAAAAATGTAAATTATTGCCGAATATACAGCCTCATGCTACAACTAAGCTCCATTTCATGCTGAAGAAACTCAATTACAAATGTATCCTAAATAGAAAGCTAATTTTAGATAGATTTTTACTCCAAAAGCAATTTATGAAAAAAAATCTGATTTAACCCCTTCACGCCTAAGGGTAAAACAAATCTAAATGCCTAAGCACAATTCTGCAACGTTGACATGTGTTAGTAAAACCATCCATATCATCAACTACTTTATACATCCAGGTGGATTATACCGCGTTTTTTTTTCAGGACAAATTGGGCTTTTATTTGGTGGTAAATGGATAGCTCCTAATTTTTTTTTATTATCATAGGAAAACTGGCCCAAAATAGTAAAAAAAAAATCATTTTTTTTTATTTAGCTGTGCATTTCTTGTTACGACCATACCCTACCTCCATAGAACAACCCAAAATAAATTCTCCAGCTCTTGACGATTGCAGCGATACCATATATGTGTATTGTTACTTGTTGTTTGTACCCACAGTACAGCCCAGAAACAATAGTGCGCATTTTGTTTTTGTCTTTTTTTTTTTTTTTTTTTTTACCTAAAACACACTGACATTAACGATAACTGACACCAATTCGGTTTTTTTTTTTTTTTTTTTTTTTTAAATCCTGACATTTGACCTTGACTTTTGACCCTGACCTTGACCCAAACACTAACCCTGGCACTGAACTAGATCAAACCTTGATCTAGGTATTTTTCTTTTTTTTTTTTTCTTTTATTTTGTAATATTTATTTATCATCTTTTTTTTTTTTTTTTTTTACAAACTTTTTTTATCTCTCTGTGTCAAGCGTTAGAGAGATACAATGTATCTCTCTTCTCCATTCATAGAGAGAGAGAAAAAACAAGGGGGCCGGGCTGCACAGTGACTGATCACTGTGATAGCCAATCAGAGGCTATCACAGCGATCACGTGACCTGCAATCGGGAGTCCCAGGTCCTGATCGTTAGAACGGGACTCGGGGCTCTCAGTGACACCGCAGTCTCTGTGCTGGGAGCGCGCCGTGTGGCGCGCTTCCAGCACAAAGAGAAGTACACAAATATGCGGCCCCACGGAAAAAAGCCCAGTTCCGTGAGGCCGCATATTTGTGTGCCGTCGACGTCAAGGGGTTAAATAAAAATAAAATCCAATTTTTTTTTTTTTTTATCATTGATTTTTATCCACCCTGCTGCAAGGGCACATAGAAAACAATGGTTTTCTTTGTGCCGCATTCACACCTCTACATGATGCGTGTGTAAATGCATGCAATGCATATTACTGTTCATGCGTTTTTTTAGTGCATGTTTATGTTGAGTATGGTGTGAAAGGAATCAGATCACCTGTCTTGCCAGACAGGGCTGTGCTTTGTGGCGCAGCTGTGTAAATCTCACGAATGGATGTACAAAAATAATTTCCTTTGGCTCCCCTGTATGTATTCCATGTTTGTATTCAGCTGTAGTCCACTAATTCGGTTTTAACAAGCATTGATGGAGGGGTTCCCGTTCCCTCACTCTGTACTCCTGTTGTTTGTCAAAGCTGCATCTTTACCAAGGTGGAATTTATATTCTATGTTCGCCTTAAGGGCTTCTGACCTTTCCAGGTCCAATTATGCTCCAAAAAACATAATGTGCTCATCCTATGAAATGATCCTTTCAAGAGTCAGATTCTTGGGGGAGGGGCTGCTGGTGAGGTGAATGAACTTTGGAGTCCGTATATCTCCATCGTCCTGTATTCTTACAGATGGACTTGACTGCGGTATATTCTAGTGCGCTGCTTCTTCCTTTCCGTCTTACAGGATAATGTCGGTTGCATATAAAGTTTTATGTAATTTTTTTTTTTTTTCCATTTTCCCGGGACAGGCATCGGAAGGGTCGCAGCCACCTCTTTAGGAAACCTGACCAACCACAGTTCAGAAGATATGCCTCTACCTGCTGGCTGGTCTGTCTGTGGACTGGACAATAAGAGAGGGCGGAAATACTACATCGATCACAACACAAACACTACACATTGGAGCCACCCGTTAGAGAGGGAGGGGCTTCCGGCGGAGTTTGGTGTTTACTACGTGGATCATATTAATAAGAGAGCCCAGTACAAGCACCCGTGTGCTCCTAGGTACAGATTTCCAAACTTTTCTTCTTCTACTAATTCTTTTAGCCAAAAATATCTTTCCTTTCCTTTTTTGTATGTGTGTGTATATGTGTATATATATATATATGTGTGTGTATATATATATATATATATATATATATGTGTGTGTGTGTGTGTGATATATATATGTGTATTTATATATATATATTATATGTGTGTGTGTGTATATGTGTGTGTGTGTGTGTGTATATATATATATATATATATAAATAAATATTGGATAGAGTGCAGAGCATTTTATTGATGTTTGTGGAAGTTCACCCTTTTTCTTGGGCTTGGTGACTGTTGTCACTGTCCTTTTGTTCGGGCTCTTACTGGAATAGGGTGACAACGCTCCGTCTCTGTCTCCCAGTTGTGCTTCTGCGTTGTCACCCTATACCAGTAAGAGCCCGAACAAAAGGACAGTGACAACAATCACCAGGACCAAGAAAAAGGGACAACGCTCTGTCTCCCAGTTGTGCTTCTACGTTGTCACCCTATCACAGCAGCTTATGTTGGTGGCTTCAAGTGGTTGTACCTGCACACATTACACAGAAATGGTCCACTGTTGTCGCTATTAGGAAATGGTGACAACAGCGGTCAGCATTGAGAAATGCCATAGAGCTATTGCTCAAGTACATGTAAACATGAAGTGGCTACAAAGAGGCTGCAGGACATTAGCAGTAATGAGATGTAACAGAAAGATGATAGAAGGAATGATTTATTTCAGGTACTTATATAGCGCCGTCAATTTACAAAGCGCTTTACATATATATTATACATTCACATCAGTCCCTGACCCTCAAGGGGCGTACAATTTAAAGTCCCTAACTCACATTCATACATGCATATAATAGGGTGAATTTAGACAGGAGCCAATTAACCTACCAGCATGTCTTTGGAGGGTGGGAGGAAACCGGTGTACCCGAGGAAACCCATGCAGGCACAGGGAGAACATGCAAACTCCAGGCAGGTGGTGTCGTGGCTGGGATTCGAACCAACGATCCTAGTGCTACCAGGCAGAAGTGCTAACCACTTAGCCACTGTGCTGCCCGGAAATTGTATTATAAGCAATGGCATTTATTTATGATACACAGTTCTTCAGCAAACTAAATGTCATTCAGTTGGGGTTTGCATCTACTTTGGTCAGCGTTTGCCCGAAAACTCTCTAATGTATTGTTTTCAGAGTGGGAAACCAGAGTTGGGTGGGTTTGTCGGTATCTGCCCTGCTGTACATTTTGCTTAATTCCAGTCTTCTTACTCTACAGTGTTCCTCGCTATGACCAGCCCCCTCCGCTCCCTCCTCCTGTCACTTATCAGCCTCGGCAAGTGGAGAGAAGCCAGCCGCTCTTAGTGCCTGCCAATCCATACCATACAGCAGAGATCCCAGACTGGCTTCAAGTGTACGCCAGGGCGCTGTCAAGTGAGTTGGCGGTTTTGCTTTTGTTGCATTATACTGGCTTAAAGTGCTCCCAGGCAGGAAATGGTCAGACTAGTTAATGTGATCCAGATAACCAAAAGATCTTTCTGCAGTCATTTTTAATCCTATAAAGAGTTGAGTAAAGGAGGAAGATCCTGTCTGGAGGACTATCCAGACAATAGGCCCCGTTCACAAAGCTAACACACCAGGATAAGGACTCTTATTAAAAAATAAGTAAAAGTTGTCACCGTTGAGAAATGCCATAGAACCAGGGGCGGACTGACAACTCATGGGGCCCCCGGGCAATAGGGGGATCATGGGGCCCCTGTGTCCTTGCCCAAACTCAAAAAAGCCTATGAAAAAGGTACCAGGGGCATCTCATGGGGCCCCCTACTGACCCCGGGCCCTCGGGCAGTGCCCAAGTTTCCAAATGGTCAGTCCGCCTCTGCATAGAGCCATTGCTGTGAGAATTTAAAATGAGTGATATGGCTCAAATATACTTAGAGGAACTACATGCATTGATTTTATGTAAAATTAAAGGCTTTTTTATTATTAAAGCGGAAATAAAGTTCTGCTAGGGTACACTGTGAGCTCGCAGGCATTATTGCAGAGGAGACATGCAATTTTGTACAATTGGATGCATCTTGGAAGCAAGTCATGGTGTCCTGGTGTTTGTTGAAGAGCTCTGGCATTCTTCTTTAAAGTGACTGTCAACAAAAAGAGAGCTTCTGACAGATATGAAATACAGGAATCTCCAGTATGAATACCAGGCTGCTCTGATTGGACAAAGTGTTAGTACCTCCTGGTAATGTAAGGCTGGCCATACACTATACAATTTTCTGTCCAATTTCCTTTAGATTTACCTTTAACTATGTAGTGCAAGGGCCCGCCTGATTGGATACAATTGAAAGTGTTGTTCAGGTTTGACCTCATATTATGTGATTTTTTGGTAAATATAAAGCAAAAATCTCAAGAAAGTTGTATAATGTATGGCCAGCCTAAGAGTCCTTTCACACGGGCGTTCCGTATGTCCGTTTTTCATCCATCTACAGATGAAAAACGGACACCCATGTATTTCTATGGACTAACAGATGTAAGCAGATGATCATCTGTTTGCATCCATTTATGTCCACATCCGTTAACATCCGTTTTTTTGAACGGACTAAAGCCCTATTTTTCTTCCGTACGAAAAACTGATGTAAATGGATGTAAACCTCCCTCCTAGATTGTAAGCTCCAAGGATCAGGGACCTCGAACCCCTCGTGTATTGTATTGTCACTGTATTGTCTCATGTACTGTCCCCACTATAATGTACAACGCTGAGCAAACTTTTTGGCGCTATATAAACACTGTAATAATAATAATAAATAAATATACGGTCTGTTTTTGCATCCTTTTTTTGCATTGATAAAGGATGTAAAAAATGTATATAAACTGATCTGTTTTTTCTTTGAAAAAAACGTGACTGAACTGATGAAAAAAACCGGAACGCCTGTGTGAAAGGACCCTTGGGCTTTCCTGTCTTCCACATTTCTTTTGGACAAGTCAGTCCTGCCACTATTTGGAAAGCATTTAGGCTTGGTTCACATCTGTGTGGGTGGTGCGGCTGTGGATCCACATGAAAATCTGTGTACCCGCACCACCCGCACAGAGAAATGAGGACCCGAGGGCGGGTGCTATTAGTTCTAATGGCACACCGACCGCACTGGAAAACGCAACCGTGCTGGGAAACGTGCCGGCTGCGTTTTACGAAGAAGTGCAGGGACTTCTTCCCTGCATGTCACGGTGCACAGGAGTCCATTCAAATGAATGAGCTCTCGTGCCCATGCAAAATGCGGCCCACATGGGTGCATATATGTGAACCAGGGCTTAGGCAGGGCCAGTGCACTAAAATTTGTTGCAGATATTAAAGGGTATCTATATGTGCAGTAGGTACCGTATTTTTTCGCTCCATAAGACGCACCTGACCATAAGACGCGCATAGGTTTTAGAGGAGAGAAAAACAAGAAAAAAGATATTCTGAACCAATGGACTGCAGACACAGTACAGGGGATGACCAGAGACTGCAGACATAGTACAGGAGATGACCAGAGAGTGCGGACATAGTACAGGAGATGACCAGAGAGTGCGGACACAGTACAGGAGATGACCAGAGACTGCGGACATACAGTACAGGAGTGCGGACATAGTATGACCAGAGACTGCGGACATAGTACAGGAGATGACCAGAGACTGCGGACACAGTACAGGGGATGACCAGAGACTGCGGACACAGTACAGGAGATGACCAGAGACTGCGGACACAGTACAGAGATGACCAGAGACTGCGGACACAGTACAGGAGAGGACCAGAGACTGCGGACACAGTACAGGAGAGGACCAGAGACTGCGGACACAGTACAGGAGAGGACCAGAGACTGCGGACACAGTACAGGAGAGGACCAGAGACTGCGGACACAGTGCAGGGGATGACCAGAGACTGCGGACACAGTGCAGGGGATGACCAGAGACTGCGGACACAGTGCAGGGGATGACCAGAGACTGCGGACACAGTGCAGGGGATGACCAGAGACTGCGGACACAGTGCAGGGGATGACCAGAGACTGCGGACACAGTGCAGGGGATGACCAGAGACTGCGGACACAGTGCAGGGGATGACCAGAGACTGCGGACACAGTGCAGGGGATGACCAGAGACTGCGGACACAGTGCAGGGGATGACCAGAGACTGCGGACACAGTGCAGGGGATGACCAGAGACTGCGGACACAGTGCAGGGGATGACCAGAGACTGCGGACACAGTGCAGGGGATGACCAGAGACTGCGGACACAGTGCAGGGGATGACCAGAGACTGCGGACACAGTGCAGGGGATGACCAGAGACTGCGGACACAGTGCAGGGGATGACCAGAGACTGCGGACACAGTGCAGGGGATGACCAGAGACTGCGGACACAGTGCAGGGGATGACCAGAGACTGCGGACACAGTGCAGGGGATGACCAGAGACTGCGGACACAGTGCAGGGGATGACCAGAGACTGCGGACACAGTACAGGGATGACCAGAGACTGCGGACACAGTACAGAAGACTGCAGACAGTGCAGGGGATGACCAGAGACTGCAGACAGTAAAGGAGATTACCAGAGACTGCGGACCTTTGGGGAGGGAGGGGGAGCGGATACCTGAATTTGTCAGGTACCCACTCCCACTTCTGCGGAGTTGTTCTTCCTTCTTCTTCCCGCGGCGGCTTCTGTGACAGCCGGGTGCCCACTGCGCATGCGCGAGAAGCGCTGCGCTTTGTGAATGGCCCGGAGCCTTCTGGGACCTGTCATGTGTCCCAGAAGACACCGGACCATTCACAAAGCGCGGCGCTTCTCGCGCATGCGCAGTGGGCACCCGGCTATCACAGAAGCCGCCGTGGGAAGACTGCAGCGTTGGAGCGAGGAACAGGTAAGGTCCTGCAGGAGAGAACAGCTTGGCGGCCGGCCCGGTATTCTGACACGGTGGCGGCAGAAATACCGGACCGGCCGCTTTACATTCGCTCCATAAGACGCACTGACATTTTCCCCCCTTTTTTGGGGGGAAAAAAGTGTGTCTTATGGAGCGAAAAATACGGTAATTCAAATCCCTGGGGCTCACCAGATTAGGGGGACTGACCTGGTATTACAGATAAAGGCTGCTGGAGATAAGAAGATTCACAGACGCAGTTCAACAAAATTGATTCCTTTTGATCGCTGACAGTAACCTTTTTCGTTGTCTTCCAAAAGTGAACAGAATGGTATTTTATGAGCAGCAAACTTGGTATGCTGTTCAACTCTTTGTTTTAAATATTTCTTACAAAAACAAATCCTCCCATCAGTTCCTCATCCAGGACCTCTGGCCAGCTGATGACTCAAGACCTTGGTCTGTTATTGGGCAGCTGATACAGCTTTTTAGATAAAATCTCACTTTTCTGGCATTCTAATGTAAATCTTAAAGTGCAGGGCACGCCAAAATCAAAAACAAAATGGTATATCTCTGCAATACATGCACATTTCCACATGTTTTATTCTTTTAGGCCAGTGCTTCTCAACCTTTTTTCAGTCAAGGCACCCTTTAAAATTATGGACAGTCTGGAGGCACCCCATTCTAAAATGTGAAAAACTATCTAATACTTTTATATAACGCAGCAACATCCACACATGTAGGACACCCAACATTAGAGGTGATTTATTCTTCCAAAGGAAATACACTTCTGCATGCTAGTACTGACTAGTATTCCAATGTTTCTTCTCTCCCTTAGTTTTTCTCCATCAGCTAATGTGACCCCAGCACTGACAGAGAGAGGCAGGGGATGATCAAACTAGGATGCTGTGCAGGCAACTGACATCCTCTTTATCAACTGATGATGTCATTGGTTGTCAGGACGCCGGCGGCTAGAAGGTCGTAATGGTGCACAATGAAAACCTGTGGCTTTGTGTAACTAAAAAGCAGGATTGATCCACCCGCTGGCTTGTATACAAGTTTTATGCAATTTTTTAGAAACAATTGAGTACTGATGTGATACTTTTTTTATTTGCACTAACATACAATTTTGAGGACAAGCTTTCGGGGAGTGTCCCCTTCTTCAAGGTCCAGGCATGGAGAGATCTGGGGTTTGAGACCCCGGATCTGTCCTCTAGCCTCTAAAGCTGTTGATCAAACCAAGATTGGTTCGATCAGCTGCTTTACAAGCCGTTAGTGACTTATAAATGAACAAACAAACCAGAAGTTGCTTCTGGTTTCTGATGCCACAGTGGCGATGCTACTGGTTGGATTGCTCCCAGGCTCCTCTGGTGGGATGGTAGTGCCCGATGCCTGTAAAAGTGATCAAGTGGCTGTATAGCTGCTCGGATCACTTTTACTCGTGAGAATCACCTCCCGAAAAAAAAAACGGTTGAGACTACAACCATGGTCCCTGTGTAACCACCTCCAGTATGAGGCTTTATATATATGTATGGCAGTGTGTTGACATGGAGAATGGGCTGCAGTTATGCCTTTTTAAAGTTTATTATTTATAAATGAACTTTGCTGGGTCCCTTCTCTCACTCTTGCTCTGCTACAGGCACTGTTTGGCCCGGGGCCAAGGGAGGCCAGGATATTGTCTCATACCCTGTCCAAATTGTTTGCCAATCAAGTTGACAACTGGGGGGGGGGGGGGTGTGCATGATATATCACTTTCTGAGCCACACTTTCCCTTTTTCAACTGAGAATGCTCAACTACTCTGCTCAAAGTTGCCTCACCACCACTCAGCAGTTATAGCAGCATGAACTGGAGGTAACATAGAGCCACCCCTGAGCTGAAGAAGAGGAGGCCAGCCAGGTGAAGGGGATTGAGCTGTCAGGTCAAGTACAAACTCCAGTCATCTTTCATCCTTTTTCCTTCTAAGACTCTCCTTTTAATAGAGTGTTACTAAAGATGTTCTGGCTGTTTGGACTGTACCAACTTGCTCTCTGGTAGTAAACCATATCAAATCAACTAAATGTTTCTAATCCATTTTTTTTGTCCTTTGAGTTTTTTTTCTCTTTTCCTGAGTCAGAGATGAGCTTCGTAGTTGTCATGCAATCCTACAAAGGTGTCATGTGGTCCTTTCCATCTGTTCTTAGTATCTTTCAGTTAATTGCTACAGAATAGTTGAAGATCGGGGTAGCAGTGGAAATGCTCCGAGGGAAGACGTCAGCTTCTTGGCCTTTTTCCACTTTCTGGATATATAGCCAAATGCAGATTGTTTTCTGTGACCTCAGCCCTGTCAGCAGGCTCCAGATATAAAAATCTAAGTTTTATCAGAAAAGCCTCCCCCATTAACACCGCTTTATAGAAAGCATCCTCTGCACTGAGAAGCTTTCAAAATCTATTGAGCATGTAACATAGTTTTTATTATTTCACACCTCACTTTGTTTTATAAAATATCAGTGATATGTATTTGCCCAATGCAGTACCTGCCTCATGCCTGGGCCAGTTTAAACCGAGGATGTGATGGATAAAAAAAGCACACTTACTTAAAGTGGTATTAAATGTTCAGCATTTTTTTAGTGTAACAGAACAATAAAATAAACATTCTTCAGCAAACTATTTGTTAAAGTTCTCCCACCAGAACTTGAGGTTTACAACTTTCAATGCTGCTGTCTCAGTGCTGCTTCCCTGAACTGCTTCTTCCATTGAAAAGAGTTAACAAAGGGCAGTGCGGCTTGTTAGCTTGGAGGAGGGAGGAGCAGGGCTGTGCACAGTCATCCTGAGGCTGTTTGTTTCTATTGATGCACACAGTATAGGGAGACATAACTCTTGTTCTTGCATGTATAAGTGGCTCCATAGGATGTTGCAAGAGAAAGGAGCCACCCTGAAACAGGAAACCTGGAGCATTATTTTGGCACCAGCTTAAACTTGAACATAGGCAAGGATTAAAAGCTAAAGAAGCTGCATCCTTAGTAAGTGAATACATCAGCTGCTGAATGTACTTAAAGGATAAGTTCATCTAAAAAAAGAATAAATGCACATTTTTCTTTTTTGCAGGTAAAAAAAGGGCTTTTATTATTTTTTGTTTATGGAGTCTCTAAAGCAGTGGTCTCCAAACCGCAGCCCTCTGCTTGCCTTTATCTGCCCTTGAGGCACTTTTCCTCCCACTGATACAAGACACTAATCCTCCCACTGACACCAACAATGGGGCATAATTCCTGCTAATGACATCTGCAATGGGGCCCACTGACACCAATTTCTCCCACTGACAAACAGGGCACTATTCCTCCCACTTACACCAATGATGAGGCACTCAAACTGACACCAATGATAGGGCACTATTCTTCCCATTGACACCAGAAATGGGGCACTATTCCTGCCCTAATAACAAAGATGCATTGTTTACTCCCAGTGACACCAGGACCATTTCAACTCCCAATAGCCACGGACTGACCCCCCCAAAGTCTAAAGGACCGTAAACTGGCCCTTTGTGTAGGAAGTTTGGAGACCCCTGCTCTAAAGCATTGCACCAGCGATCAGTAGATCACTGGTGCCATTGAGGTCTCCTCTTGACCTGCAAGTATGCCTGCTTGTTTGTACATCCCGTATGAGCAAGCAGATACTACTGGCAGGAAGGATCAATGAACTACCACGGCGCTGTGGAGTGCCACGGTAGTTTATTGAAAACTATAAGCCGACAGCCGCAAAGGCACAGAACGCTGTGAATGAATGATGCGGCCGGGCAGGTGGAGCCCCGCACGGCCACGGTTTTTTTAACCATTTCCATACCGGGCAATTTTACACCTTCCTGCCCAGGCCATTTTTCAGGTTTCAGCGCTCTCACACTTTGAATGACAATTGCGCGGTCATACAACACTGTACCCAAACTAAAATTTTATCATTTTCTTCTCACAACTAGAGGTTTCTTTTGGTGGTATTTAATCACCGCTGGGGTTTTTATTTTTTGCTAAATTAACAACAAAAGACCAAAACTTTTTGAAAAAAAAACATTTTTCTTTGTTTCTGTTATAAAAGTTCACAAATAAGTAATTGTTCTTCATAAATTTAGGCCGAGATGTATTCTACTACATGTCTTTGGTGAAAATAACCCAAATTAGGATGTATTATTTAGTTTGTAGGAAAGTTATAG